ATACCTCAAGCGGTTAGTCGCTGGCTTCCCACCGCGGCGGCCCGGGTTCGATCCCGGGTCTGGTAAAGTGGGATTTGTGGTGGACAAAGTGGCGCTGGTGCAGGTTTTTTTTTCCGAGTACTTCGGTTTCCCCTGCCAATCTTCATTCCACCAATTGCCACACAATCACCCTCACCTATCATCCGGGGCTGGAACAATAGGCAAGAAGTGGCCGCAGTACAAGGGACTTAGTCCCACCCCACTAGCAATATAAAAATAGAGACAGATAGAAAGAGAAGGTGAATGTTTTAGAAGTGAGAGAGAGAAACTGGGGGATGTACCAACCGACGGCCTGGTACAGTTTCGTGCACAGAAATTACCGAGGACCTAGGCAGTGCTCACTGTCCTGGGTGTTCATGAAGGAATTGGAACGAATTTGTTGATCCACGTTTAAGAGAATAAATGTTGTGAACCACTGTGGAAAGGGCCACAGAATTTATTTCCCGGTTATGATGTAAGCTGAAGCTTTCGTGTCAGTTGGTTAGAAATTACCGACCTGGCAGGGACCACCATGATGATGGGGTTAGAGATGGTCCCTGAAACGTCGGTGATTTTTAACCAACTGACACATTTGTTAGCCAGAAAAGATTTTACGGTTAATTAAGTGTTGCATAATTTGGAAAGCTAATGGCAGTAGGCGGTCACGGTAGCCGAGCGGTCTAAGGCATGCACTGTCTTCGCTCGCTCGGAAGCCGGGATCGTGGGTTCGAATCCCACTCAGGTCATGGATGTTTGTGTGCGTTTTTCTGTGTTTGTCTACAGGTAGAGGCCTTGCGACGAGCTGATCACCCGCCCAAGGAGTCCTATCGTCTGTGTAAGATCTAGAGAAACCGAAGTGAACGGAGAAGTTCATGGAGGTAGGCCTAGGCCCACTGGGGCTGTAGTGCCAAGGGGGGGGGGAAAATGGCAGTAGGCGTATCTGTGAATAGTCTTGTGTTGCGTTGACAGATAAGTATAAAACGCAACTCAAGAAACCGAAACTTAAACGTAATTTAGGGTCCTTCAGAGGCGGTTAATTTTAATCAGTCTGAATCCTGAGTTTTGGATAAGCACGCTGATCCAACTTGGAACTTGAGAAGTATCTCGGCATTTGCTTGGAGACAGAGCAAAACCAAGAAAACCCGTGTCGAGATGGCGGTCGCAGGAACTTCCGGATATTACCTGACATCTAGCGAGTAGTCTGAGAACTACAGAATTATGAGCTGGCTTATCTAAACACGTTAAGTCCGTTCTTATTTACTGCATCGCCGTTGCAGAAGTTAGTGGTATTTGTGGAAACAGTCGGTGTATGTTCTGAGAACCAAATGACCATGACAATGTATGCAAGCAAAGCGCTGCCTTGTTTAACGTTAAAGAATACGGTACACATAATTACCATTGCCTTCTAAAGTAAGGAAGTTACCATCTGTGTGTGGTGCTTACAAATAAAAGTGGAGGGTAACCGTCGTACAAAGTTTTTTATAAATCAGTTCACAACATACTTCGGGCCACACAGGCCATCATCAGGTGATTCCTGAGGAAATACTCAATTGGTGACGAACTACATATGAACTAAAATACTAGTATAAAACATTTTTTGCTAGTTTCAATTGGGTCAGATGCGATATGATACTAAATATACTGTGGCATGTAGACCCGTTGCTAGGCAACGAAGGCAAAGCAAACAGTTATGCAACAGCCGTTGCAGACGCGCACGCAACACTGGAGGAATTACTGGCGGCGGTGTTTTGTGTGCGGTCCGTGCTGGCGCTATATAACGAGGAGCAGCTGCGATTACAAGTCTTGAGACGGCAGTGAGAATAGTAGGAAGTTGGTGGGAAAGGGCCGCCAGCCCGGGAGTTAGTTATGAGACAGTCGCTGGTCAGTAAGGACGTGAACGCGGAAGATGAGCAAGCTACGGCATTGGAAGCCGTTACCAGGTGACAACCGTTGAGGATACAGCAGGCTGAGCAGAATTCGTGCGTGCTTTAGTAAATTGTAGAATGCGTGAATTAGCGATAGCGCTGTAGTTACTTGTAGTTACGTTCTGTAAGTGTCCAATTACAAATCCAAACCCGTCTATAGTCATGTTTGATGCTTGAAGTAAAAGAGAAAATGTCTTCGTAAACACAGTTTTTCTCCATACATGCACATAAATATGTGGCTTATAATTAGGGGCTGAGATGTCTCAGACGGTATGGCGACTAGGTTACAGGCCGGAAGACTGAGGTGTTGAGGTTCGATTCCCAGCAGGAGCACGAGATATTTCTCTTCTCGATACCGTCCAGACTTGTTCTGAGGCCTACCCAACCCCCTATGAAGTGGGTACTGGGCACGCTTTCCCCGGGGGGGTAAAGCGGCCGGGGCGTGAAACTGACCACTCGCCTCCCATCTAGTGCCAATGGTGGGGTATACTTCCCTACCCGTCTTCATGGCATGATGCTTAATTAAGCGCAGTCACAACTTTATGTCTTAAGTAAAACATATGTAAACAAAGTGTCCTTGAAATTAAATTGGCGGATACTATATGGAGTTTCTGTTTATTGTCTGTGTAACACTACTAAAGATCAATAAATTTTTTTATGTCTTGAGTCCTTCAGACAGAGTAGGCGTAAAGGCCACAAGGCACGTGACGAATATGACAGAGTCAGTTCTACATTTACTTAACAAATATTCGAAGTTGGCCGTTCATATAATCCTGTCATTCAAACCGTGGTTCGTGAGCCTCACGGGAATACGTAATGTTTCAAAGAACTTGCTGGGAAAGAATGATCAGTGGAGGATTTTACGAAAGACGTTATATGGGCGTTCTAAAATATTTGATTTCAAAATATTTTTGTACTCTGTTCCAGTTAAAAGTTGAGATTAGTAATTACAATAATCACAAAATGCTCGATATGAAGCAAGACTAAGGCAGGACGTCCGTCCATCCGTCCGTCCGACTCTGTGACTACGGATCGAATTTTCATAAAATTTGGTGTCGGAGGTCTACACGAAAAGGTCTCAAGTAGATTTAAATTTGTTTCATACCGGTTCAGTAAAACACGTACCTTACATGAAGATCAAGTACAAAATCGGCTCATCGTAAAGAGAATTTGTATGACATGCCAATAGGATATACATATTGTGACATGTAGACCCGTTGCTAGGTAACGACCGCGAAACGAGCAACTGTACAGTATCATTGCTAAGTAACGGCTCCGCAAAGCAGCATGTTTCCGCTGCAACGACAGACCATAACAATAATGGAAGAGACATTTTCTAGGCGGTCCATGCTGAGATGTTATAACCAGGACCAGTTAAAAGTTACGATAAGTTAGACAACCGCTGAGGTTTAGTTGTGAGCTGTTGCTGTGATAATCTGGCAACTGAGGCCGAGGACAGTTCGGGAAACTTGAGGAAGGGGAACGTCTGCAACTAGAAACCGTTACTAAGCAACGGCAGTAAATACATGTGTGTACACTAGTGCATGTGTAATAGTGGACTGTAAATTGTAGTCACGCGCTGTAGCGAAGTGTGCAATAAATCGAGTCATCAAACCAAAACCCGTTTATAGTCACCCTCCATCACGTGACTATATGTTATTAAGCTCGACAACTTCATGCTCAGCAGTTTTAAATGCAGTCAATATTTATAGAAACACGAAGAACATTGTTTTGTGACTCTACACAGTGTATCTGAGATGCGTATAATTTTGCAATGATATGTTTGTGGATTTTTCGATTGATCTAATCCTTCCAGACGCACTGTAGCCCTGGTTTCGACTCAACCTCTAACAGAAATGAGTACCAGGAATCTTCCTGGGGGTAAAGGGCGGTTGGCGCGTAAGGCTGACAGCCTCATCGCCATCTCTGAGCCGAATGACTAAGAAAATGTGGGAGCCTCAACGTCTCACGAGCCTATGGGTCTCCATGGCCTGTTGCAGGGATAGCTTTAGCTTTAACTTTATATTTGTATCTGTAATAAATGAAGATCGAGGCCAACGAGACATGGCATACAACGTATTTTGAATATATGAATACTCTACTGAAGCACAAATTTCATGCTTGTAACATTTGTTACGACGCGCCCCTATGAATGTGGATAGGCAAATCTCTTAACATCAGTTGAATATCAAAAGCCTTAACAGAAAATATGGCATAAGGGAAAGAAATCTCCTTCTTCAAGAGACAAAATAATACTTAAAAGACACATCTGGGTTAGTTTTGGAAGCGTTCCAACATGGCGGACCGAAATATAATCTCCGATACTAATTTTATATATGTAATTAATATGTAATTAAGCACTACGCCATGAAGACGTACGGTGGAGTGGGTGTATAGATGCCCGTATTCTTGACCTCGGCACTAGTTGGAGGTAAGTGGTCAGCGCCACTACCCGGCCGCTTTACCCCCGAGGAAATAGCGTCCGGTACCCATTTGGATAGGAGGCTGGGTGGGCCCCAGAGCCGAAGTGGAGATGAGAAAATTCTTGACCCTACCGAGATTCGATCTCCAACCCCTCAATCGTCCAGCTCGTAGCCAGTCGGTACACCGATTACGCTATTCCGGCTCCAATTTTAGAAGAGTAGACGCAGAAAAGATAAATTTGTCCACGTGCTAATTAAACACCGTGCCATGAAGACATATGGAGGACCGAATGTATAGCTCCATACATTCTGGAACTTGGCGCTAGATGGAGGTGAGTGGTGGGGTTCATACCTCGACCGCTTGGCCCCAGAGGTGAAAGCCCTAGGTACCCACTGGATAGGAGGCTGGATGGACCCCAGGGCCGGTCTGGACGCTGTGGGGGGAAGAGGACAATATCTTTAACCTCGTTGGGAATCGAACACCGATTCTTCTGCTGTCCATCCCGTGACCTAGTCATTATACTACCAGAACATGCAATATTCTCGTCAGTGAAACTGGTATAAAAGAAAACTAATCACTATATGTCAACTTAAATTAAAATTAAATTAGTTTCGCCAGTTTTTCTGTACTCACCTGTAACAGGTGATTCCCCTTCAAACACCTGGAAATACACATTAAATTAAAAAATAATTTGCAGTTATTCGTTACAGATCGGAATTTAGGGCACTAGACGCAATTAAATATCCACTTACCGAATCACATTAATTCATAATAACTCGTGAAAGTGCGAAATGCTAACACTTCCTGAAGCCAATGTAAGAGTAAACTGACTTTGCTGATGATTTTCTGTCCATAAGATCAAAGACGCTTCTCCTGCTACTGTTACATCGATACTGGCTTGTTTCCTTCTGCTATATTGGCTGCCATGCTGGTTTCCAGTCAACTGCTCGTGTGTGTTTTGTTTTCACAACTTGCCGCGTCACTACACCACCATCTTTCTCTTTTCTTTTTTTTCTTTTTTTTTCCCATGTTATACCTTGCCGGTTCGTGATATGACTGGTGTTGCGAATAATACGTTAACGTCATCAGACTTTTAAACAGTTTCCTTCTGGTTAATAAAGTGTTTCCTTCGTGTCTCAGTCGACATCAGTTTATTTGCCTCTTTTTGATACGCCCGAAAGACATCGGATTAGTGGGAATGTAGGCCTTAGTACTATTTTCTACATATTTTGGTTGGAATCCGTCCCAAGCCGTGGATAACAAGCAAGGCCTATGCGTGTTTGCTAGAGAAATTTTAATAAATGTAACTTAATTAGAGAAAGATTCAGAAATTGTTGGGATGGTGTTACTTGCCGAATCTGAGGTTCCTGTAGCGATGGTTGTGACGAGAGGTCATTGCATATTTCAACTGACGTAAACCTTCCAGCCGCGCTATGGCCCTGGGGTCGACTTAGCCTCTAACAGAAAAGAGTACCAGGAATCTTCCTGGGGAGTAAAAACCGGCCAGCGTGTAAGGGTGACAACTACACCGCCATCTGTGAGCCGATTGTCTAGAAAATGTGGGAGCATCGACGTCTCACAACCCTATAGGCAACTACGTCTTGTTACAGAGATAGCGTAGTCAGTATAGCGACTGGCTACGGACTGAACAACATATGGGTTGGAGTCTTGATGGGGTCAAGAATTTTCCCTTCTCCAAGCCCACCCAGCCTCCTATCCTAGGGGTACCGGGAGCTTTTTCCCCCGGGGGTAAAGCGGGCGGGCCGTAAAGCTGACGACTCAGCGCCAACTAGTGCCGAGGTCAAGAATACGTGGATCTATACATAAACTCCCCAATACGCCTTCGTGACGTAGTGCATAATTAGTGAAGCACAGGGACCACTTTACCGTTTACCTTTCCGTCTTCTTGCATAAGACGTCGTGTAATACGGCACAGGTTTACTGCTGTTTCGCAGAAATATGCTGCGTCTATTTTCAGGGTCGAAGATATGCTGCGGAGGAAACGAGTGAGAAATCAGAAATCTTTTGGGATGTGGTGCCGTACGGTCTGGTATTTTGGAAGAAAGAACTGCGAGCAAGCAGCAACAGCTTTTTGCTTACTGAATATGGATTCTACCCTGGAGAGGGAGACATATGTTCCTCCACGGTGTCATCTCTCAGATGGTAGCACTCTTCATGGTATTATTAGTTTATTTGTGGTTTATGTAACTTCGCTGTCTGCATTTGGGACCGTATGCTGCAGAACAGTGGTAGCCGGGGTAGCTCAGTCGGTATAGCGACTGGCTACGGGCTTGACGAGTTCGAGTCCCGGTAGGTTCAAGCATTTTCTTTTTCTCACGTCCTCCAGACCGGCTCTAGGGCCCACCCAGCCTCCTATAATTTGGTTACGGGGGGATCTTTCCTCGGGGGTAAAGCGGCCGGGGCGAGAAACTGACCACTCATCTCCAACTAGTGCCGAGGTCAAGAATTGTGAAGCTATACCTCCATTCCCCTAGTCGCCTTCATGGCGTAGTGCTTAATTAGTTAAGCACAGAGACAATTTTACCTTCAGTAGGCGGATTAATGGACAATTTAATTGAAATGTTGGATGAGAAATTCTGCCAGCGGTGATTGTGAAGAGTTCTGTCTTCTAGGATACACGTAACGGCGTGTAGTGCGGTGAAAGTGAAGAGAGATTTCGGAGGAACATGTCACCCCATATTTAGAGTCGGAGGGCAAGCCAAGCGAGAAACCAGACTGTACCGGACAAGAGCAGAGCGAACCGCGTACTGAAGCCCACGTGTCTACTTCTATGCGCTCTCCGCGAGATGCAGAGCTAATCAATAAGAGGAAAAAGAAGGGTAACTGCCCCAATGCTTGACCTACTCTTCAGCCTTGAAGATTGAAGCGATATGTTCATCCGACAAGTCTATTGGCTTTCCCCGGATTATACGACATTTATCTTAGACAGGAAAAGATAAAGTTATCCCTTTAACACGCCATGAAGGCCCATAGGGGTGTGAGACGTCGAGGTTCTCATATTTTGTAGACAATCCGCTCATAGATGGCGGTGAGGTTGTTAGCCTTACGCGCCGGTCGCCCTTTACCTCGCAGGAAGACTCCTGGTAGTCATTTCTGTTAGAGGCAGCGTCGACTCTAGGGTCATGGTGCGGCTGGAAGGATTAGGTCAATTGAAAAATATAATGACCTCACTGGATTCGAACCCTCGAGGAACGGGGGAAGCGGTCGTAACTTAATCTGAGGTACTGTATTAACGTTTGCCTGGAGGGACTGGGGAAAACAACATCTCAGTCATGATAGCCGGTGTTCCGGCCGAGAATCAAACCGGACACCTCCTGAATGCATGTCTAGAGCTTAACCGGTTGAGCCGATTTTCCCTGATTAATTATTGAAATTTAATTTAAGGTTATATTCCGGAGTTTTCGGGGAGGGACTGAGGGAACCACGAAAATTCCCTTAGGATAGCCTGTCTCCGGACCAAGATTTGAACCCAGGACTTTCTGAATACAAAGGAGGATTACAAACCACGTGACCTAAACGTTCGCTGTGATCTTATTGGTTTGTTTGACATGGACATGGGTTGGAAACTGACAAGGACATGAACACGTGCGTGCGGAAGATTTTGTGAGGAATACAAATGCGGTGGCAGACGCTCCTTGAAACATCTGTTTGAATACAACGAACCGTTTTTGATCAAATTGATTTCAGCGTAAAGAGAAACATGATGTAGGCTCTATGCGTGATCCTGTCACTCTTGTTACATGTGATGTAGTCATTATTTCGAAACACCATAATCCGGGGATTTACCGTGATAATTCTTCCATTTTAGGCGTTTTCGCTACTCGAGCGCCTATTAAATTTGTTCCGTCCGTCTAGTAGTGCTCATGAAACAACTTGAGAATGGCTGAACGGATTTTTATGAAATTTAATATCAGGGAGTTTTATTAAAATGTCTCCATCTTTCCAAATTTTGGTTAATGTCGGACAAAGGTAATGGATACTTTTCAAGAACTCCTACGGGCGTTTCTTAAGGAATTTCGAGCGTAACTCGTTAATTATTTGTTGGAGCGAGAAATATTTCGGACCAAAACTGTAGAGAAAATTAAACCCACGTCTTATGTCGAATGCACTTTCCTTCGATAAATGTTGATTATTTTATTCGTTCAGTATATTGTCATTATTATTATTATTATTATTACTATTATTATTAGAGGGGGTGGGTTTCCCCATGCACCGCGACCAATAATCTATTGTACGTCCCCCTTTGATATCCAGGCATGTGCCATACCCTACCGCTACTGGTGCGTGCTATCAGCCCCGTTGAGCCAACGAAGTCAGCCCTCGGTACCTGATACTTTCCCCATCTACCAGAGGCATCGGAAACTACTTGGGCGGGAAACTTTTTGCCTAATTTAGCTCAGAGGTCTCCTAGAGACATGATCTTTTACGTGCCGTAAATCTACGACACGAGACCCTGAATTTTTCCGCCCTTAAAAAATTCCACGACCTCCGTCGGGTTTGAACCCGCGTACCTTGAGTCATGCGGTGGGAACGTTACCCCTAGACTACGGAGGCCGCTTTCGTTCAGTATATGGACATGATTTCTTAAGTATTGTCTGTTTCAGTGCGTATCTTCAAATCAACACAATCAAGGAAGAGATCAGTCAGTGGAGCTCCCAATATAGAGCTCGACTACATACACACCCCAACGAACTTGCAGCTCAACTACTTCAACCACCAGACCTAAGGCGCCTCAAACGACACCAGCCAATCGATCTGATCACCAGATTCAAAATATAATCTTAGTTAGTAGTTTAGTTTTAAGTTCAGCTTAAGTTTCTCCCCTTCTCCCACCAGGCCCCAACCTATTCATATACGGAGGGGAACTAATGAGCTCCCCTCCACACGTCATTTCACACAACTCACAACAATTTGCTAAATGTATTCATACAGACTGCAAATAAATGGGGATCTAAAAAAAATCAACAGTGAATATTTGTTTGTGAATTTCATGTTTGTTTATTCTAAGGGAAGAACTTATCATAGCCTTAACTTTTCAGTTTATCTGAAATATTACACCTCTTGAATTACATAGTAACACTTCCATTCTTCGTGTTAGCTACAAGTTATTTTCCTATAGGGCCTAAATACCGATGACAGTGGCCGAGCGATCTAAGGCATGAATCGTCTTCGCTTGCTCGAACGCTGGGATCGTGGGTTCGAATCCCACTCCAGGCATGGATGTCTGTGTGGTTTATTTTGTGTTTGTGTCGTTCTGTGTGTAGGTACCGGCCTTGGGACGGGCTGATCACTCATGCATGCAGTTCTACTGACTGTGTTTAGGATTAAGAAACTGAAAAAGCGGCCAAGGTCCAGCAAAGGGCTGTAGCGCCGTAGTTATTGTGACGTGCTGCCTGAAAGCCGGACTATAGAATATCCATTGCTGCGCAACGGACAATGAGAACGCATGTCACCTAGGAAATTGCCTACCCAACAGAGGCAGAATTGTTGAGTTCCCGCGGCAACGGATATTCCAGCTAACAGCGAAACTGAACCCTTTGGCAAGGTGGTCTCTCTCCCGTCCGAGCGCTGGATATATAAGCGAAGAACGTTCAGAGGACCAAGTCAGTTTAGATTCGACGAGAGCTAAGAAGAGAGCTCTGATCCAACGAGAGCTAAGGATAGCTCAGATTCAACGAGCGACCATAGAAGAACGAAGAACGAAGACACCCCACCGAGAATGGCGGTGCAAGAGGGTGTAACAGTTGAAGAGGAAACGTCTGAAGACGTTATAATTGAGTGTAAACAAGCAATTGTCCAATAAACATATTCATCTAATCCGAGATCCACATAAATTTCTTGCCGCGTTACCTAAGAAACACGCGACAATATGTAGTAGGTAGGTAGGTAGGTAGGTAGGTAGGTAGGTGGGTAGGTGGGTGGTT